CTTGACCAACACCGTGGACATATTGACACTTGTCTCGAGCGAGTCACCTTGGCATGAAATCTTTCTAGTAGAGATTTCAAGATTTTTCACTTAATTCTGAAATCGTCGATTTTGGTACCTAAGGCAAAGGATGAGTTAACAATATCACATAACTTGGCATATAAATCACAAAAGTTTCTTTCTCTTGCATTCTCAACATCTCAAATTATGTGTACGTTTGGAGATGGGACATCTTGACCACTATAGTTCCTTCATATGAAACCACAAGAATATCCAATGCCTCCTGTGAATTTTTGCAATTAGTGATCCGTCAGAATTCGTTTGGTGTCACGACATAAATATTGTATTCAAACCTTTTGAGTTCTACCCTGCTAATTTAGTCTCAGTCGTCGATCAAGTCGTCGAGGATTTTATTTCAACCACCACTTCACCACCTTCAACTTTTGGGGTGGCGGTGAAAGCGCTCTAACCCTCTTGCACACTTAACCATATTCTCTCATCAATTGATTTTAAAAATGATCTCATGCGAGCTTTCCAATATGCAAAGTTAGAACCATCAAAGAGAGGTGGTCGTGTAATTGATCCTCTTTCCTTCTAAGACTAACTTATGATAATAATGGATCTCTTAAGAAGTAAACTAGGCAAACAAGCAAAAACAAGATATACCTACTTATTGTCTTATGCCCTCAGGGTAACCACGCTTTAATATCAATTGTTGTTTTGGGAGGGAGAATCTGATATAGATCTTTCCTCATGATTATACACGTGGAGAGCAAAACACTTAACCTAGAGGGGAGGGGGTGAATAGGTTTTGCAATTTTAGCCCAAATTCAATTACTAATTAAACCTATATCTATCACAGTTACCTCTTATAACAAATATAAAGTAATGAATTTGAGACCTCTTTTCAAACACCAACCCTTTGAACCATGGTGATTGATTTTAATTAATTTGCAATTAATTCACTAAAGTTAATCTTACGGCGATCCCAATAGACCCACAAATCCAATTGTACAATTATGGATGATATGAAATATAACAATCAAAATATCCAACACATAGTGCTCGTGTGTGCTAACAAATGCAAGTGTGTTCAATAAACAGTAAGAGAAACTAGCAATTTGTTGATGTGCAAAATCTTCCTTAGAAAAAACTGCGGGGAATCACTCAGGGTTCATCAAAACCTAATCCATTACGCGCCCAATCAACATACAAGTATTCAAGTCTTATACCTTAACCAATACTCATAGTTAGATGTTCCTTTCCTTGCTATGTCGCTCCACTGAAACTCCCTCTTTGATGTGAGATCTCCTTGCCGCATAGTTCGTCTAAGCTTTGAGCGATTATAGGCATGCCAACAATCTTCGGTATGCACAAACCAATGAGTTTGTTTATCAACAAGCTCTTCTACTCCAAGTTGTGAGGATGAAAAGAATCATTAGTGTTAGTCTTTGGATTTTAAGGATTTAGGTTGTGACATAAGCTTTGAAGGTTGAAAGATATATTTCTCTCTTCAAAATTTACTCTAAAGGTTTGACCTATGTATGGGAAAGACTCTTCCTATTTGAGTTTAGAATAAGAGTAGTCTTAGTAAATAATAAAATTCATATTCTTAAACGACTGCTCAATCGGTGGGAGAGCGATCATAGGGCGGTTGACACTGGAGTGAAAAGGAGCAGAATTGTTCGAGCGACCATGGAGACCATTCGAGTGAGCTCATAGAGCGAGCCCTATGCTGATACCCAGTTTCCTTTTCCCTTTCTATCTTTAGTCATCAAGAGACCGCTCTAACGAAGGCTAGCTAGCATAGGACGGTCTTTACAGGTTTTTTAAGCCTAAAATCATGTAAAAATTTGTTCTCTTGTGCACTAAAGGGTATTGCTCAAAGAGGGGTCCAATTGTGATTTAAACTATGTTTTCAAAACATAAAACTTTATTCGAAAATCACCTAGGAGTCATAATCGGATTGCTTCCAATTCCATTTTCATCGTAATCATCCTAATTTAAAATAACTAAGGGTTTATCTTAGGTGTCTAGGTTATTTCCTTGCTCTTAAGTATGAAAGTGCATACGGAGGTTGAATGATGTAACTTTGATGCTTGATTTCCTCCCTTCAATGTTGCTTTTGAAATTTGAACTGGATAGCATTATGACCATGTAAATGGTTGAGATTTTACAATGGATTCCATGAAGTTAGCCAATTACAAAACATAATCTAGCATAAGTGATTGAACTCTAAAATTAACATATTTACAAAAAATAAATACCTCTAAGATAAACCCACAACACCAATAATTCTTGCCTTTCCCCTTAAAATGAACCTTAATATATCTAGGCTTATTTTGAAGTTTTGTTATTGTTTTACTTTGGGATTTGTTGGATTTTGTAAAATTCTACATAATTTCATTTTGTTATAGAATATAGGCAAGTGAAATGTGAAGTAGAATGTTGGGCTAAAATCAAACTTAAAATAGACAAAGATAAGCTAGGCACATCCTTGATTTGTTGTGCATATGTTCCTTAGTTTTCGAGAGGTGATGGTATTTGGTAGGCTGGGTTTCAGAGTGTGGCAATCCATGTTTTTCAAGTTAAACAAATTTTCGAGAAATTAAAATTTTGCTGTGGCAGTTGAACTTCATGATTGGAGGGAAATTTTATTTTGCAAATTGTTTTTGTTGGTAGTTTACCTCCAGAATGTCATTTTGTTCTCATCTGTTCATTTTTTTCTCTTTTCATTACTAACCCCAAATGTGTATTGAATTTTAGGTTGTGGAACGTGATAAAGCATGTACAATTGATCTTATGAAGTATTTATTGAGCTATGCAAGCAATCCTAGTGCATGCCCAGGAAGGAACAATTTATACAGTAGAGAGCTTGTAGAACTATCTGTTAGGAATCTATTGAGAGAATTGGCTGAAGTAAGAGTTTCAGCGTCGCACCTGCCTGCTCCAGAACAATATCGATTACCAGGTGGATATGGACAAACATCAAGACCTCTAGGACAAATATTGAAATGAAGAGAGGTGACTGGATATGTCCAAAGTATGTTTCTCATCTGATCGGTGCTTTTCCTTTGTTAGCAGAATGTCGTTAATATCAGCTGGGCCCCAATTCTATTTTTGTGGGGAATTATTTATTATATTGGTGAATTTGCTCTTTTTAAATTTTTTTTTTTCTATTGTTTTATCAACCTTTCTTTGGATTCATGTTCATATATTGGGTCTGACCAACAATAAGACAAGCTACGTTTTAAGTGTTGGACAATTAAGAAGCAACATGTTCAAAAATTTAGTCCGGCAGAAATGAGAATGTTAATATAGATGTGTGGTCAAAGTAGAAATGGTAGAGATTAGAGAATTAAAAATGAGAATATCCGTGAAAAATCTGAGGTAACACATAGGAATAAATTAAAGGGGAAACAATTTAGGTGGCTTGGACATATTTATAGATGGCATATTACAGCATCGGAGGTAAGGAGTGATATGATAGTTACTGTTAGTAATCGAAGAGGTAGAGGAAGCCCAAAATTAACTTTAAATGAAAGTGTAGAAAAAGATGTGATTACTTATGGTTTAACAAAAAGTATGACCCTTCGTTTTGTACAATAACGAAACATTATTTGCAGATCCAAAAATATTGAACAAGACATAATTGGGCTGAGTTGTATTAGCAATCTTTGCATGGACTAAGAAATTCAGTGTACGAGTGGCATGTGCACACCTATCTAATCATAGATTCACTTTTTCCTTTTCCTTTTCTTTCTAATTAGTGGTTGGGGGATCTTAGATTTACTAACTGTAAAGCAGTGTTTGACAAGCAGCACTCCGTTATTTTCATGTGGCATAACTTTTATATTTTGCATCTTTATGATATGGAGCAGGTGCAGTTTCATGAATTTTGCAAGAAATGTTAATGCCTTGAATGTGAGGAGTCTAGACCGAAGAGACAGCTGACAGGAGGCGAGTGGGAGTGTCCTCAGTGAGCATTACTTCCTTAGCACACCTTTAGGTATTGATCTATCTTAAGAATGATGAATTCTGAATCATATTTTTCACAGATGTGATTTCTTTAACTATGGAAGGAACTTGGTCTGCTTAAGATGTGATTGCAAACGACCTGGTGAGGCTTCATTCGATAATTTCAAATCCAGACCAGAGCTGGGATATTCTAATGAGAACTACACAAATAAGGCTAATGTTGATAGCAGGTTGGCTGAGAATGAAGAGAAGGCACAGAGGTGGTTGAGTACGGTTTCTCAAATGGATAAAGCCTCTGATTTGAGCAGTGTGGCGGCTGATGCAGATTTTCCTGAGATCATGCCATTGAGGAAAGGAGAAAACAGATTTGTTGTAAGCACAAGGAAGACACCCTTGGAGAGAAGGATGGCTAATTCTCAATATCAAAGGAACTTAAATAATGATGGGACTAGGGAACGTAGTAATTCTCAAACTGGGGTGCAAATGAGAACCTTGATACTTCAATCAGCCAGAGTTTGGACCGGATACTTGGTCGCACGTCCACCATGTCCAGAACAGATAATAAAGCATCACAGCTGGACAAAATGCTAGAACAGAGAACTCCACTCCACTTTCTAGGTCAGATTCTTCACAGTATGCACACCCCAGGGCGACCAATTCAAGTTATGTTCCATTCGTGCCATTACCTGCTGATATGTTTGCCAAAAAACCTCAAAATGCAAATATTGTGGATAGTGAAACAGAAGGCTGCAAATCTGTGTCTAAAGGTCATTGAGCAAACAGATCCTGTTTCTGTGAGTGGTGAGTCTGGAAAACTTGGAGAGAGTTTCTCAGTTCTGTGGAAAAACAGCAGCTCAAGCTGAGAACAATGATAACGAAAAAGAACATGCTGAAAAGTCTGAAAGATGGTTTAAGAGGGTAGCAGCGCTGCATGATGTCACAGACCTATCAAGTGCTATTGCAGATGAGAATTTCCCGAAGGTTATGCCAATGCGTAAAGGAGAAAACCGTTTGTAGTTAGCAGGAAGAAGGATCAGTCTTTAACTTCTCCGATGTACAAAACACAAGTGTCTATGGAGCAGGCAAGCAATCCTAAGTTTGTCCCATTCGTTCCGTTCCCACCTGACTACTTTGCAAATAAGAACAAACTGCAGCCAGAGGGCAAAGATTCAATCATAAAACCTACGGGTGAAACTTCTTCCATTTCTACCACTCCGGAGAAGTTCCCTGAAAAGTCAGATGATGCTAGACCTGGAGCATCTAATTTGAGTCAAACGCAAAGACCAGAAAACCAACAGACCAGCTCAGGAATTGGAATTCAAAACCTTGTGGGGACTATGGGGCACCAGTTGTTGGAAATTTGACGCAAAGCTCTTTCAGTTCCCAAACTAGTAATAAGGACAGTTGGAGTAGTGCACACTCTGGGAAGGATAATACATGTCAGACCATGACTTTTGCAGGAAATTCACCGACCTCACCTGAAAATCAGAATGTTAGAAGTGGCTGGACGGGGAAGAGCTTGGAAGGTTCAGCGGTGAAGGAATCCAATCCTTTGGACATGTCAGAAGAGGCCAAGGCAGAAAGGTGTTTCGACGTGTTGCCCAGATCAAGGACATTTCTGAGCTGAGCCAGATACCTGACGAAGACTTCCCCTCAATAATGCCAATGCGGAAGGGAGTGAACAGGTTTGTGGTGAGCAAGAGGAAAACACCATTAGAGAGGAGGTTGACATCTCCTCAGTACAGAAGGAATCTTCCCATTGTGAGCTCTGATCCAATGAAGAAGGAAAATGACACTAGTTAAATAACATGTAGAATTTTCTTTCTTGATACCGTTGCAAGGTAAAATATTTGGGCAATTTTTTTCCATCATTGTTTCTCCAGAAACTTTGAACTCATCCTTCTTCATAAACATATGTTGTCGTTATAGAAGGATGATTCTCCAGAAACTTTGAACTCATCCTTCTTCATAAACATATGTTGTCGTTATAGAAGGATGATGCATGCATCACTTAAGAGCCGGTTGATTTGCTGCTCAGTGTTCACGTACATGCACTTGGAAAAGTTGCATTTTGAAGGCATCAATCTCATGTCTCACACCTGGTAATATTTACATGATGACAATAAATCTGAGGTTAGATTGACTGGATGCATCTATGCTAATTTGACAAAAGGAACATAAAATAAAATAGGAGACATGGGCAATGTACTCATGGCTGGTAGAAGTTGGACTAAACCGGTGCTTTTGTATACAGATTTTTTAATTTCTTGGAACAAAGCCGACATTGATCTTAGAAGTTTGAACTTGGATATTGCCGGCAGTATGTACTGCATATCTTTTCATGAGTAGACCTGAAAATTCATAATGGTGAATTGCTCGGCTGTTCAGAGTAGAAAGAAAGGACCTGCTTGAAGTTTGATTACTGATTTATGATGCAGTTGTATGTTTTATGAAGCCCAGTTTTTTGGTGTCGCCTGAAACTCGTATCTGGGCAATTGCTGTTTCTGAGGCAGATAATGTCTGTGCATTATTCAACAATACTAGGCCGACTAAGCTGTTGAATTAGGTTGCGACTGTTAATCACTTTTCATTTGGTAGAATACTTGCTTTGGCACTGTATGGGAAGTATAGAACAAAATACTGTTGGAATTCGTTTTTCAGGACTCCATTACATTAGAGAAAGTACAAACACCAGTTTTCTTATGCCAGCATAGATTTCAATGCTGCTTCTATGTGTAAGTCGATTATTGTATCTTGGGTGACATACATTCACGAAGTCTGTAAACACCATAGCTCCTTGGGGGATAATATTAAATACTAGCTTTGAACAATTTCTATTTTGCATTCGCTTTAGTTCTGATAATCATTGGTTTAAGTTTGGACTCCTTTAGAGCTCAAGACCCTTTGAGCTTATAGGAAGTGGCCCAAGCAGCTCGTCCAGACGAACTCTCTTGAGCACGACTTGGGCTGCAGACAGGTTGTAGGGAAACTTAGAGTAACAAGCTTGACACGATAACATGCTTGGAGCTCAAGAGCTCGGCACAGGTCCAATCTGCAAAAGTTGTAGCGTGACGCGTGGACAGAGGACATTACCTGACAGCTCAAATGAACAAGTCACAGGTAGTGGAGACGAATCAAAGACAAACATAAAGGGACCACAAAATCACACAAAAAAGGACAAACATAAAACCCTAACTACTAGTTGTATAAATAGCCAACGGGGCTATAGCGCACGAGAGAGTCATTTTGTAAGCCATCAAGTAAAACCTAAGCAATGTCTTGTAAAGGCTTTAAGCCAAACACCCTATAATAACAATCTTCCCCAAGCAACATAATCCCCAAAGAGTAAGAGTCTCTGTCACAATAGTTGTAACCTTAGTCTTTTGGCTAAGTTGAACCATTCATGTTTTTGTCTTTCTCTTGTAGAATACATATAGCATACACCTCCACACTCACATTCACCTAGACACCCACACACTCGTTGGACTTCACCCAAGTCTGTTTTGCAACTCGGTCCACTTAATTTCAAGTACCATCAAGTTCAATGTTCTTTATGTTTTGTATTATCAATTTTATTAAAGGATCGACAAATTTCCCAAAGACTTTTTTCCTGTAAGCCTCCAAAGGCAACAAGGTACTTTCCTACCCAAGCACTAATGTGTTGGCCTAACTACTAGGGTTTAGATTCCCTTTGAAAGCTCCAAACAAAAAAAAACAAATGAAGATGAGTTTATGGCTTTGTTCAACCCTTAGATTCCCTTTGACAGCTCCAAAAAAATAAAAACAACTAAAGATGAGTTTATGGCTTCATTCAACTACTTGGGTTTAGATTCCCTTTGAAAGCTCCAAGACAACAGAAAAAAATGAAGATGAGCATAAGGCTTCTTTTTTTAGCACTAGTCTCTTGCGGTTTTTTTCTGCCAACCCAACAGTATAATAAGATTGCTCACATCACTTTTGTGCTATATATATATATATTTTGATATTGGACAACGTCGCTAGAACTGGACCATATTAGACTTACCCACATAGAATAAACCTCAAATACATGCAAATAACGGGTATTTGGGCACCACCTCAGAGAGCTCGGTAAGTTGGAGGAGCTCTAGCTCGCCAGCCTTCTAGTTCGCACATTCCTAGCCCAGTAGAGTCCTATCTCCTCACGACCTTGACTAATTTAATTTAGCTGAGACTCCTACTCCAGTAAAAAGTCCACCTCCACTACACCATTGATATTACCTTAATTCAAATCAAAGGTAAGGATCCTCCAATAGCCTAATCAAATAACTATAAAAAGAGAAACCTAGAGATGATCCAGGGACACACTTCTAATCACAGTTGAATACTCTCCTTCCCAAATTCTTTTATGACTTTAACATTAGAGGGTTGATCACTAGAGTCCATTCGGTCTTCGATTTGCCTTTGCAAGTGCATCCTTTGGTTGGTCAAACTACAATTCCGATCAATTGCGTGCCTGGCGTTCGGTGAGCAATTTATGGCATCATCAGTTAGCGCCATTTGTGGGAAACAATAAATTTTCCATCTGTTATCCATAATCAATGGCCATCACAAGGTCAAAGGATCCAACTAGAGACCAAACACGTGCTAATGAATGACCTGGGTCACACCCAGCTGATCAGTGAAACCTAGCCCCACCAGAAAGGAGACTTCAAGGGTGGAGTAGCTAGAAAAGATTGTGGGGGAATTGGTTCAATAGAATTGAAAAATCCTATTGTTACTTGCTACTCGACAACTCCAAGAATGAAACTTATCTTAGAACTAGGAGCATCGAGATGAGAACCAGGGGAATGAGGTACAAAGCCAAAATGAGGTATCTTGCTCCCAAGTAAATGATCAATGGGAGTGAAAGTTCCAGGTTGTCAAAAATAAACTTGTTAATGTCATCTACTTTGTAAATGCATGGGTTCTAGAAGTAGTGGAGGTCTTAGTCCAACACACGGAGTCACCATTAAGATTCAAGATACCGGTGATCGAGAGTTTTGATGGACTTAGGGATCCACTTGATCATCTAGAGACTTACAAGTTCCTTATGATGCTTCACAACATCCTAATTAGATTATGAGTAGGGTTTTTGCAACTACCCTCAGGGGAACTGCCAGACATTGGTTCAATAAGTTGAAACCCAATTCAATTAGCTCTTTTGCAGAGCTCAGTACTTCTTTCATCTCCCATTTCATTGGAATGAGACACTCATAAGGTTTGTCAGCAGATTCACCATGGAGTCCCTTTAGACCGACAACATAGAAGACAAGGTGGCACTAATTGCCTTCATGGGGGACACCAACCCTCCTAGTCCCTCTTCTTATTGTCAAAGGACTAGCCTTTGAGCATGAAAGAGCTACTCTCAAGAGCATAGAGTCATGAACATAGAGGATACATTCCTAGCACATAGAGGCTAAGAAGATAGACAACATGATAGAAAGAAGCACGATCAAACAAGGAGAAATGATAGAGCTAGTAGCCCGAAGAAGAATTGAGTGGAGAGGGTGAATGCTAGGGGATCACCTGGGTCCCTGGACTCGAGGCTAGTTGGCTCGTAAATACACACCACTCAACACGCCACTCAAACAAGTTCTTTTCTTAGTGCAAGATAACCGAGTCCTGAAATGGCCACCAAATATGTGTACTAATGCTTGATCACGTTCACCCTAATCTCCGAACATGATTCTGATAATGTGTATATGACTTATGTGTACAGGTGAGTGTCACTCTCCCTTGGATATCATGCAAGAAATGGAAAAAATGTGTGTGGATGAACAAAATGTGCGTGTGTGTGCAAAAGTGCTCTCCAAGCAAAGAGAGACTTTCGAGTGTTGTGTTTTACTTGAAATGGGTATTCCAGAGTCGTCTCCTCAAGGAAGGAAGGTTGAATCATGTGAAGGTGATTTTGTAAAAATGGAAAAGTGTAAAAATCTTGTGAGTTTGTGTTTTGGTGAGTGAAGTTTGTGATAGAAAATGCAATGGAAAGAGGGTTGGCTAATCTGAAGAGGTCATTCCAATGAGAATGTCACAACATTCTTCCAATGGTGCCTAGGTGTTCAATTGATTTATAGGAAGTGAGGGACTAATGTGGTGTAGGCTCAAGCATACCCCGTGACAAGTCTACGGTGTATTAAGAGCTCACAACTACGTCCGCACTCAACCTAGTCAAACCAAACCACCTACACTACAAGGAAGAATGAAAAAGAGTTGATTTAGCATACCCAAGAGGAATTCTCTCTTGGATTAGCCAACAAAAAGCTTAGTTACTTATATTTAATGCAAGGACATACATAAGATGAAGAGACATTATGAAGAGATGAAGATTGAAACTTGTTTTAATGCAAGAAAAGTTAAACTACAAAGAAGTGCATTTAATACCCATTTGAAAAGTTTGAAATGAAAAACTTAAAAACAAGCATGGTAGAATTTAGAATGTGTAACTAAACTTGAAATTTACACTTGAAATAAATAAGATTAAAGTGCATTGAATGAAAATTACAAGAGTATTCTAGCTTACAACAAGTGAAATGGGTAAAAGAAATGAAAAAAATTACAACTTCTCTCTCTAAAATTACCTTCTTCCTTGAGCTTCTCTCTCTATAATGCTGAATAATGTTGTAAAAATGTCAAGAGTCCTCTTCATTTTCGTCCATGGAGGTCTTATAGCTTGTGTGAGTGGCTTCCCATCAATGGAGCGCTGAGGTGATGGCTTGAACAGGGTAGGACAAGCCTAGCCAGCAACTCTCCAGGCTTCCTTCTTTTCCTTCTTCCTCATAAATGCTCAGACCTCCAAAGTCCAA